ACAAACACTACAACTTATACTATATTAATTTTTACTACTGTAAGTTGTAACAGTGTAAGTAGTAGTAATGTTCCAACTTCCAAGTCAACTTGAGCTAATATTTAGCTGTTAAGTTTTGCCGAATTACTGCTATAACATTTTTAAACACACTTAAAGATGAATGGACAATCAGCAGTAGTTAGTTTGTCACTGATATTTATTCATCTTCATAAATATAACTGTAGATTGGATTACACAACAAATTCTCATTGAGAATTGTTGCTATGTAACTGTAGGCAACCACAGTGATGAACTTCCGTTTATATTATGATTTCTCCACTCCCTATGAATAATTATTGTACACTACAGAAATTTATGGCTCGAACTCTTACAGTTTTGGAAAGTTATGTGCATAATTAAGTAAAAACTATTAATTACATGTGAGGTATTCAAGTTGATCACACAGTGTGAAACTGCTAATGATTATAGCAGAAGATATAAATAATTAAATGTGATACCTTGAATTTTGTAAGGAATGGTTAATTCTTCATTTAAGGGTTTAGTAAGTACTAAAATACATCTTATTAGTATGCACATAATTTGCTGACACTGGGAGCTGGCATGCTGTACATTACCACTCTCTTTCTGTGAAGTTGTTGAATGATATATTTCAAGCATTTCTTTAGGCAGAGTTAGATACAGTATGGTCTAATTGTTAGATTGATGCATCCTATACAAAACTAGTGTGTTCTCTTAGCACAGTTTTCTTGCAGCTATAGTAAATGTTGAATATTTACTGTTCACAGGCATAGCATGTATTAAAATTAGCTCTGTACAGTTCATTTTTATCCACCTAGGCCACGTTTAACACAAGGGCATTATATGTTATTTCAATGAATAATGGTTTGGGTAAGAAATACATGTAGCCTCCAATGTGTTGCAGAATCAAATCACCTATCTTCATTCTCAAGTAAAACTAAGTGCAACTGTTTATGTCACTTACTATGACCTGGACTTTTCAAAACCAGTTGCATGTACAGTATCTTTTTTTCAGTACCATTTCTAATAGATTGGTATCCTTTCTTTGATAATGTCTTACAAAGACATTTTGTCAATACTGGAAAGATTTCACTACTGGTATAACACATTTTTCATGTAGTAACATAACATTTAAGGACAACAAGGGAGCTTGTTGGTCCATCGAGGCTGTCCATCTACTAAATTAAATTTAGAAAAAATGAAATACCTCCAAGTCATCCCTTATCTCTTCAATATTTATTAAGCCTTTCCATAAATTTACCAACTCCACCAAATCAGAAGGCAACCAATTCCAAAGGTCAACCACTCTGTGAGAAAAGTAAAGCTGTTTTAGTTGAAAATGACTTTTTCCCTGCCAAAATTTATACTTGTCTACCCTAGTCTTACCATTCTCACCATTGAATATGAAAATAAGATTATGCATGAACACTATCAGTTGCCTTAATAAGCTTAAAAATTTCAACTAAATCTTCTTTTACTCTTCATTTTTCATAAGTAAATAATTTCAGAGATATTAAACTGCCCTCTTATGATAACCTATCCCTCCATGGTATCATCTCAGTAACCCTTATGTGAACCCTTTCCAACAATTCAGTGTCCTTTCTAAGGTAAGAAGCTCCAGACTGAATACATTACTCTAAATGTGGCCTAACCAATGACCTTTATAGAGACATTAAAGGTAAACAAAATGTTAGGATGGAAGTAGGACCTTTGTAGGATGATAAAGAAAGGCTTGTATCTGATGATTATGATATGCCTGGGTTATTAAATTTGCTTTTTCTTCAGTTTTTGCAAATGAAGTTTTTAAGGAATATTCCTCTTCTTGAAGAGTTGATAGATGGAAACACGATCGAACAAGATGATCACATTAATTCTGAGCTTGTTAAAAAAAATTGGCAAGTTTAAAGAGTGTTAAAGTTCCTGTGGCAGATAATATTTCTCCAAAGGTTTGAAGGAGGTTAAGGTATGTATATGTGAGCCACTTGCTACTATTTTTTGTAAGTCTTTGAATAATGGGCAGATGCCGGAGGATTGGAATTTGGCTGATGTTACTCTTCTTTTCAAGGGAGGTAATAAAAATTGTCCCAGTAATTATAGGCTTAATAGTCTTACATCAGTTGTGCAAACGTTTGGAAAGTCTTATAAAAGTCATTTAACAAAGTTTAGAATTTTATTGGATTGTCAACATTGTTTTACTAAGGGAAAATCTCACCTTACAAATCTTTTGACATTCTCTGAAAAGGTTACTGCTTATGTAGATGAGCGTAAGGGTGTAGATTTGGTGTATCTGGATTTTCAGAAAACATTTGAAAAGGTGCCACATAAAAGGCTTGTAGAAATATTACTTCTGTTGGTGTGGAGGATAAGTTATTTAATTGGATGAAAGAGTGGCTAGATGGAAGAAAGCAGAGGGTTGTTACAAATGGAGTTCAGTCAAACTTGATTCATGTTACAAGTGTTGTATCTAAGAGCTCAGTGTTAGGACCTTTGCTCATTTTGATTTACATCAATGACATAGATGAAGGAATGACCAATAAATTACTTAAATTTGCAGATGATATTATGATCTTGGATGTTGCTAGATGTGAAGAAGATACTGCTGATTTACAAAAGGATTTACATCATTCAGTGAGTTGGGCAAATAAATGGCAAATGGGTTTTAATTATAAAAATGCAAGACAATGCATGTGGGTTATCATAATTTGAATTATAAGTATAGTTTGAATGGAAATAACCTTAGCAGTGTTATGACAGAAAGGGATCTTGGTGTAGTGGCTGATCAATCTCTTAAGCCAATAAGCAGTGTGCTGTTGCTAGTGGTAGAGCAATTAGGATTTTAGGTTAGTATGTACAGAAATATTAAATACAATCCAAAGAGGTTATAATTTCATTGTATAGGTCACTGGTCAGACCACATTTGGAGTACTGTGTTTAGTCTTGGACTCCTTACCTTAGGAAGGACATTGAATTGTTGGAAATGGTTCAAAGGAGGTCTACTAGATGGAGGGGTTGTCATATGAGGAGAGATTAAGATCTCTGAAACTGTTTTCTCTTGTAAAAAGAAGAGTGAGAGGGGATCTGATTGAGGTGTCTCAGATTGTTAAGGGAATTGATAGTATTGATGCATCCAACTTTTTTTTTTTTACTAAATGGTGAGAATGATAGGACTAGGGGACACAAATATAAATTTTTGCAGGGTAGGAGTCATCTTCAGCTAAGACAGCATGTAAACATGTTACATGTCAAGTTGTGTACTGGACTCCTTACACAGTTTCACAGCTTCAACCCACTTATGTACAAAAGAAATTTTGTAACATGCTTATTAAACAGAGCTTGTAACCTGCATTCCATGTACCTTAATTTACGCTTGGAAATTTCTCTCTTACAGGACACTCTAAAATATAATGGTTAATCACATTTATTACAAAAAATTACAAATACTTTTCAATCTAAGAAACTCACAAATCCTTCCAGACTACCAACTGTACTCAAACTTACTATATACTCTTGTCTTCCATACATTGGTAAACAAAGTTTAACTTTAAATTATCAAATTAAACACGTAATCCATTGTTACTACCCCCATGTTGATTTCAGATTAGTTTTTAAACCACATCACACATACAGGATTTTTTCCATACTAAAAACCTTCTCCCAGTTTCTCTTTGTTCATGACTTGTATATCCTTATGCATGTGGAGACTGTAAGGTCGTTACTACCCTCAAGTGGATTTAAGATTAGTTTTTAAATCCACATCACACATAAAAAATTTCTTCCCTACTAAAGATCTCCTCCCCATTTCTTATTGTTCTTGGCTTGTCTACCTTTACACGTGTGGAGACTGTAAGGCCTCCTATGTTGGCAAAACCAAATGCCATTTAAAAGTCAGAGCCTATGAACATATGGGAATTTCCATTAAAACGCAAAAAAATTGAATAACCCATGTTTCCTCTATACACCAACATAGTGAAGAAACAGGACATCAACCTATACTATCAAATTTCTCTATCCTCTGCAAGTCTAATACTGACCTGGAATTATTGATAAAAGAAACACTCCACATCAAACAGCACTCTCCAACACTGAACAACATGCAGTCTTCATTTAAATTATACATTTTTTAATATGTTCGTATTACTGATTTTACTTTTTTTTCCGTTGTGTTTTCTTACTACAGTTTCTCCCATGATTACTGTTTAGTGTTTTATTTGTTTAATTATCA